AGCTTTTTTGTAGAATATTGTTTAAATTCTCACCTAGCTTTGTTTACATTATTTCATAGATTTTTCTAGCATTTTCTTAAATTCTGTTCTAGATTTTTTTTAGTTGTTACTTTAGCTTTTTCTTTGTACTTTACTTCTTCTCTAGATTCTTACTTGTCTTTTACTTAAAGTATTTTTTTAAATTATTTTTCAGCCAAATTTTCAAATTCTTCTCTAGATTCTTATCTAGTCTTTTAAATTCTTCCTTTAATTTTTTCTTAGTTTTTTTTAAATGGTCTAACCTTTTCTTAAATTTTAATAGCATTTTCGTGATTTTCTACTTTACTTTCTGCACTAGATTTATCTTTAGCTTCTTTTATAGATTTTTTTGTCTAAATGGAAACACTAGCTTCTTTTAAATTATTTTTTTGTTTAAATGCTTCACTAGCTTTTACTGTGGAATATTGTCTAAATTTTTACTTAGCTTCTTTTAGATTATACCCTAGTTTTCTTTTTATATTTTTTTCTAGATTTTTGTTTATCTTTTTTACTAGCTCTTTTATAAACTTTTTTTCTAGAAATTTAATTAGTTGTGTTTTTTAGTAAGTATCTAGTCTAAATTACTTTCTAATTTTATGTTTAGATTCTTCCCTAAAATTTTTATCTAGTTTTTTCTAAATGGTTAAACATTTTTAAGTATTTATAGCATTTCTTTCTATGGTCTACTTGGTCTAGTTTACATTTTTTCCAAGAGTTTTATTTACCATTTTTCATAGATTTTTTTATTTAAATACTACACTAACTTCTGCAGAATATAGTCTAAATTTTCACCTAGCTTAATTTTGATTAGTTTATAGGTTTTTTTTTATAATTCTTTTTTTAGATTTTTTTTCAGTTGTTTCTTTAGCTTCTTTTTTATACTTTACTTAACTTTTACTCTAAATTCTTCTACTTTAACTACTTTTTTAGATTATATTCTAGCTATCTTCAAATTTTTCTCTAAATTCTTGTCTTCTTCCTTTGACTTTTTCTTAGTTTTTTTTAGATTTTTTAAAGATTCTTCTTTAGCTTCTTTTATAGTTTTTTGTCTAAATGGTAACACTATCTTCTTTTAGATTATTTTCTAGATTATTAGCATCTGTTCTAGATTTTTTTTCAGTTATTTTTTTAGCTTTTTCTTCACTTTTTCTGTAGATTCTTCTTTATCTTTAACTTTAACTATTTTTTTTACATTATTTTTTAGTTATATCTTCAAATTCGTTTCTGGATTCTTGTCTAGCATCTTTTCTTCTTTTTCCTTAAACATTTTTTTCTATTGATTTTAATTTTAGCTTTAAGCTTTTACTCCTCTACCCTTCTAGGTCCGTGCCTAGATTTTTTTTAGAATTTACATTAACATTCTTTCTAAATTTCACAAACTGGATAAAACTAAAAATTTTGTGACAATTTTTTCATAGAATTTTTACTGAATTTAGTGTTTTTGAAGCATTTTGGACGTGATAAACGTCATGACATACGACTTCCACGCCATGTGGGGTAACACCGCCGAGAACTCGCCCTTGTATGGGGGCGAAAACGAGAGTCAATGGAACCGAGACAACCGCAATTCGGACGCTGCGATTCGTTATTGGTTAGATGGGGGCGCTGACCCCCAGAAAATCGCCCTCGGGATTGCCTTCTACGGCCATACCTACAAAATAAGTCCTGAAAACCATGGTCTGGACGCCCCCACCCAAGGGCCAGGAGACCCAGGACCATACACCAACAACACCTTCAGTCTGGGGTACAACGAGGTATTTGATAATCCACCATGACTGAAAAAAAAAACTGAAAAATTGGTTTCAGGTTTGCGAGTTTCATTAGATTTATAAAAAAAAACAAAAAAACTACAAATTTTCAGGCGTAATTTACAATTTTTTGAATCTGTTTTTTTTTTTAATTTCAGTAAATCTATTCTCTAATTTTGTTGTTTCTTCTACCTTTTTTTTTCAAAAAACTCTTAAATTTATTTAAGTAGGCAAAAATAATGCATTTTGTTCAAATTTTTTGATTTGTTTATACAAGATTTACCGAATCAGAAAAACTTTCTTAAATCTATAGAAAATAACGCGTTTCAGATACGCTTAAATTTATTCAAGTAGACAAAAATAACGTCTTTTGGCCAATTTTTATAAAATTTTTTGATTTGTTTAAACTAAATTTACCAAATCGGAGAGTTTCTTGGTGAAAAACCTTTTTAAATTTACAGATGTAATAACGTATTTCAGACCTAATTTTGAAATTTTTTGTTTAGTTTCGTCAAAATTTTTTAAATGTTGTTAGCTTAAAAAAAATAAAAGGCTTTTAAATCTATCGAAACAGACAAAAAATAATCATCTCAAATTTAATTTTCATCAAATTTTGACTGAATTTTAACAAATGGATTTTTGCGAGTTTTTGTTAAAAATGCTTTAGATTTATAAAAAAACAAACAAACATTTTTTTTATTTTTACAAGTTTTTTTTCAGTGAATTTATGAAAAATACTTGTTTTTGCCCTAATTTTGCCATTTTTTCTACCTCCAGTTGTCAAAAAACGCTTAACTTAATCCAAGTAGACGAAAATAACGTCTTTTGGTCAGTTTTTTAATTTTTTTGATTTGTTTAAACAAAATTTACCAAATCGGAGAGTTTCTTGGTGAAAAACCTTTTTAAATTTACAAAAAATAACGTATTTCGGACCTAATTTTGAAATTTTTTGTTTAGTTTCGCCAAAATTTTTTAAATGTTGTTAGTTTCCTAAAATAAATAAAAGGCTTTAAATCTCTCGAAACAGACAAAAATTAATCATCTCAAATTTAATTTTTTTCAAATTTTGACTGAATTTTTACAAATGGTTTTTTGCGAGTTTTTGTTAAAAATCATTTAGATTTATAAAAAAAACAAGTAAACATTTTTTTTTATTTTTACAAGTTTTTTTTTACAGTGAATTTATGAAAAATACTTATTTTTGTCCTAATTTTGCTATTTTTGCTACTTTCTTTTATCCTTGACTGAAAAAAAACTGAAAAATTGGTTTCAGGTTTGCGAGTTTCACCCAGATGGTAGTGTGGTGTTTTTGGACGATATGAAAGTGCCCTACATGTATGATGGGGATTTTTGGATTGGTTATGATAATGAGCAGTCTGTCACAATTAAAGTGAGGCTTTTTCTATTTTTTTTAATTGGAATAATTTTTTTTTGTAGACTGAATATGCGAAAGAGAAAAACTTGGCTGGGGTTTTTATCTGGTCGATTGAAACCGACGACTTGCATGGATTTTGTGGCGAGAAGAATGGACTTTTGAAAGCAATTAATCAAGCAATAAAAAGTTGATTGTACAAAAATTAAACAAATAAAATATTATCAAGATAATTTAGGTTTTTTTTATTATTTCTTATATATCTCTAAATTTTTTTATATTTTCTCTTGTTCTTTACTTCTTTTTAGCATTTCTTAAATTTGCTTGTAAGTTCAACTCTATTTTTTATGAAGATTTTTCTTTCTATTAAAAAAAAAATTTTTTTCTTAATTTTTTTTAATTCTTCTGTAAATTCTTTTAGAATCTATACAGGCTGTGCCAACTTCGCAATTTTTATAGATAATTTTTTTTTCATTTTTTCCATGTTCCTGGTATCTTACCTTATATGGCATTTTTCTCTGGGGTGCGAGTTCTGGCGCACCTTGTATAAAAAGCTAAAGAAGGACGTAATGAAGAATGTAAAGTAGAAAATAAAAAATGTTATTAAAACTAATAAAAGTTTAAAGAATCTAAATAAACTAAGAAAAAATTGAAAAAAAAAATTATATAGCTAAACAAAAATCTAGAGAAGAATTTGAAGATATGGCTAGAAAATAGAAGATAGTAGAAGAATCTAGAGAAAAAGTTAAGTAGAAGAAGCTAAAGAAACAACTTTAGAAAAATCTAGAACAAAATTTAAAAAAATGCTTGAAAAATCTATA